TCATCCACACAGTCACTCATTTTTAATCACCTAGCTTGTTTTCCTAATGTTTATTCTTTTTTGGGGGGGGTTTGGTTTGGTTGGTTTTTTTGAGACAGGGTGTCTCTGGCTTTGGAGGATGTACTGAAACTAGTTCTTGTAGACCAGGCTGTTCTCGAACTCACAGAGATCCGTCTGCCTCTGCCTCCTGAGTGCTGGGATTAAAGGCGTGCACCACCACCACCCGGCCTGATGTTTAGGTTTTGTTTGTTTGTTTTAGAGTTTTGTTTTAGTTTTTTTATCTTATATCACTAAATCCCTGTCAAATGGATACTTCACAAAAATAAAAATTATCTCATTTTGTGGACTGCCTCTGCATTCATTTAACAGTTTCCTTTGTTGTATAGAAGTGTTTTGGTCTCCTGGAGTCCCATTTGTTGATTCTTGGGTCTTATTTCCCGGGCTCCTGGAATCCTATTAGGAAATCTGTACCAATCTTTACATGGAAATGCACTCTCTACTTTCCTACATGGCTTCTTATTATTTAGAGTAGAGTTTTGATATTTAGAGTAGAGTTTTGAGCCGGGTGAGAAATAAAGATCTAGTCTCATTCTTTGTGTTGAATTTCAGTTTTCCCAGCACCATTTGTTAAAGATGCTGTCTTTTCTCCAATGTGTATTCTTAGCATCTTTGTTAAAAATCAAGTGACTGTAGAATTATATGGACTTAGGCTTGGGCCCTCAATCCTAGTCCCTCTAATTCTGTGCCAGCGCCAGGCTGGTTTTATGACGATGGCTCGGTGATATAATCTGAAATCAGGTATGATGATACCCCCTGCAGTATTCTTTTTGTTCAGGGTTGTTTTGGATATTCTGGGTCTTTTGTTCTAGAGGCAGAGGCAGGAGGATATCTCTGAGTTCAAAGCCAGCCTGGTTTATGAATCAAGTCTGTGGCTAACCAAAGTTACACAGGTAAACTGTCTTAAAACAAAAAACAAAAAACAAAATTAGAATTGATTGAAATGCCTTGTGTCTCTCCCCCACTCTCTGGCGCCAAAAAAAAAAAAAAAGTAAACCAGGCTAGCCTGAACTCATAGACATTCACCTGCCTCTGCCTCCTCAGTGCTGGGATTAAAGGTATGAGTCACCATCTGGCTAAAAATGGCTAAAGGGCTTTATTGTATGTTCAAGAGTTAGAAACTGACCTCATCACCCAATGGAGCCACAGGCACAGGCTCTCCATGAATTTCATCATGAAGAGATGTTGAATTTTGTAAAAGGCCTTTTCTGTGTCTATAAAAGTGGTTATGTGATTTCTGTCTTTGAATATATATATCTTATTGACTTAAGATGCTAATCATTGGGCATGTTTGCAATGAAGCCAGATCAGGATAAAGAATCTTTTGATGTTGTTTGAATTCCAAGTATCTTGGGGGTGAGATTTTATATCTCTAGTCATCAGGAAAGATGGGATGTAATTTTATTTATATTTGTCCTTATCTGGTTTTGGTATCAGGGCAATGCTGGCTCCATACAGAAGACTGGGAGAGATCCTTCCTTTTCTGTTTTATAGACTAAAATTAGGCACTATTGGTGTTGGTTCTTCTTTGAAGGTCAGTGAATCTCTCTGACCCCCTTTGTGTGTGGGACGGAGGCATATTTTTAAAAATTATTGCTTTAAATACATTGTTCTATATTTGTTTAAAGTGTTTATTTAATCTTGGTTTAATTGTCAAAGGTCATATGCATGTAGAAATTCATCCAGACTTAAAAGCAGTAGATAAGGCAAAATAATTCATTCAGGGAAAGCATTAATGAGGTGGGAATGAAACAAGAAAACCACAAGACACAAATAATCAATGGAACAAACAGTTCTTTGCCAAAATAACCATAAGAAAGAGGAAGACTCAAATCAACAAAATTGGAAATGAAAAGGGAGACATTACAACACTTGTCAAGAAAACTCAGAAAATCGTAGGTGTGTAAACATCTATATTCCACTAAATTGGAAAATCTAAAATAATAGATCAATTTCTATATGCATATCACAAAACAGAAAAGAGCACATTAGTTGGGAGGGAAATACGTTGGGGAAGACCCTGGGGGCAGTAGAGGGATGAGGGGGCGGTTATTATTAAGATGTATTTTATACATGTATGAAAATTTCAGAGAACGATAAATAAATAGGGAAATAAAAGATTTTTTAAAAGATTTATTATGTATAGTGTTATGTTTGCATATATGTCTGCAGACCAGAAGAGGGCGCCAGATATCACTACAGATGGTTGTGAGCCACCATGTGGTTGATGGGACATGAACTCAGGAAGAACAGAAAGTGCTCCTAACCACCGAGCCATCTCTTCAGTCCCAGAAACAAAAGACTTTTTAAGGAAAGAGAATATGTTCATTTTGGAAATAAGGGTAATCTACAGCAAGTAACTTCAGTGGATTCGACAAGAAAACACTAATCTGGCTCCAAACAAGCCTATCATCCAGTAGATACTGCAGTAGGAATTGCTATGCAGGGTTGGGTGGTGGTGCCTTTAATCCCAGCTCTCGTGAGACAGAGGCAGGCGGATCTCTGTGAGTTCCAGGACAGCCTGCTCTACAGAGTGAGTTCCAGGCCAGCCCGCTCTACAGAGTGAGTTCCAGGCCAGCCCACTCTACAGAGTGAGTTCCAGGACAGCCTCCAAAGCCATGCAGAGAAACCCTGTCTCGAAAAACAACAACAACAACAAAAAAGAATTGCTATGCAGGGATGCCCAGATGCTCAGTGGTTAGGAGCATGTTCGAGCATGTACTGACCTTCCAGAGGACCTTCATTCACACCAGTACCCTCCTCAGATGGATTATTACTCCTGCCCCAGGGGATCTGCACACACACACACACACACACACACACACACACACACACACACGCACGCACGCACGCACGCACGCACGCACGCACGCACACACGCACGCACGCACGCACACACGCACACACGATGTAAATATCCATAATTAGAGAAGGATTGTCTGTGAGGGGCGGACTGGGGAGATGATGTCAGAGGGGATAGTGGGAACCCAAGAAGAAGGAACACAGTGACAGCCCTGGTGGTTGCGGTGGAAAGAGGCAGAACTCACAGACCACCTCAAGCCCACATTAAACTTTCTTGGATTAACAAAGGAAAACGGGAGGAACTTGAGGTTTGGAGGTTTGGCCCTCCGTGTGTGCCTGCGTAGACCCAGAGCAAGACAGAAGGACATACAGGGAACCTGTCTCGGAGGACAGTTCCACACTGGAGGCAGGAAGCAATGAAGCCGGGCAAACCCCGGTGAGGAGGCAGGAACCCTGGCGGACACATGGGTCAGACGCTAGCTTGCAGTGGCCGCTCACAGCCCGGCGCACTTCTTGCTACAGGATGTGGCATCGCCACCCCCCCACCCCACCCCGTCCCCTCTCTCCTCAGTCCCCAGATCTCCGCATTACTCTTTCTACACCGCATTTTCCTTCTACTCAAGGCCAGGAAATCCGGGAAGGGGCCAGCAAAAGGATCCTCGATACCCATAATCCGCAACGTTATTTTGAAAAAGTAAAGATTACTTTTTACTCCAATATCTATAGTTTTGCACCTGGAACTGATAGTAGCTGGATGCAAGCAGTTACCGCTGGGCAAAATAACTGGTTAGTGCTATGATGAAGGCTGAATTCTGTTCGCAGACTGATGATCCCACGACGAAAAGTTTTCTGAGCCTTCGGGACGCAATTGGAGTCCATTGCTTTGTGTGAGGCGTTAGGAGTAGCAAGGAGACAAGTATAGCATCGAATTACTTCTCAAAGTAAAGAAAAAAAAGAGATATGCTGTTCCCATACCGGGAGTCGAACCCGGGCCGCCTGGGTGAAAACCAGGAATCCTAACCGCTAGACCATATGGGAGCTGCCGGTAGGTGTCTCTGCTCTGTATACTATGTCACCTACGTCAGCAGAGATGCTTGCCCAAACCCAACCCCTTAGATCTTCCAGCATCTTCACTTTCTGGGGTTCCTGCGGCTGCCTCAGTCGGGGGAGCGGAAGGATGGAACCTCCTCGGTGAGTGGAAATGGGGCGAAGTCAGCAGACAACAGCGCTTTGCACTGTCCTCACCCAAGCCCAGCAGCAGTGTCGCGCTTACCGGAGCCCGGCACACCGGAAGCGCAGTCGCGCAGTAAACGCCTTTGTGGGCTCCACTTAGACTCAATCCCGTGGACAGTGGCTTGATCGGCGTTCCACCAGAGGTCCTCCCGCAGTTAGAACTTGCGGTCATTACGACTGCGTTCCGTCCTCTCTGCACGCAGAGATGCCGCTTTAGTGACACTAGGATGTTAAGACACTGCCGCCTGGCGTGGTGGTGAATGCCTTTAACGTTTCCAAAACTCAGAAGGCAAAAACTGGTGAGTTCCTGTACGATCACGCTACTCAAGGTTTACACACTGTGGCCTTCTCAAACTAAAAACAAAACGAAGGCCATTTTCTCTTTGGTCACCATAGCCCCAAGCATACGGGCACCAGAGAATCTAGAAGGGGAGGAAGTGCTCCCTATCCCACACAGGCTTGTAATCTGATGTTAACCTTTTTTTGTTATTTATCATTTAAAAATTTACAGCCTGAACTTTGATAGAAGAGCCGGGCTCACGACTCACTGAGCAACCCAACTGAAACCACAGTAAATTAAGTTTATTATTATTGCATTAATACAATCCCAAATCTGAGAAAGAAAATTAAGAAATTCAACTTTCTTTAGAAAAAAAAATGACTTAAGAGTCTGGAGTGATTGATGGCTCAGTGGTAAAGAGAACTCCCTGGCTGCTCTTCAAGAGGACCCAGGGATTCCCAGCCCCCATGTGGCCGCCCACGACCATCTGTAACTCAAGTTTCCGGAGCTCCATCACCCTTTGCTGGCCTCCGAGGGCTTTCGGCCACCACATGGTGCACGGACCTGCATGCTGGCAAGACACACATACACACAGCAAAATAGATTTAAGAAATGAAAGCTTGGCGAGTTACTGTAACCTTTACTTTATTCAGTTTTTCTGTACAAGTTTTACATATCTTTACAGTTAAGAACTAGAAAAGCCAATATAAGCAAAATTAACAAACTTGGAAGAAATATTTACACCCACAAACGGTTAATTTCTCTCCCCAAACACAAGTCTCCAGACAAAAGTCAGCTCAGTAGAAAAGTTCAGCATGGTACAGTTCCCAGACACAGGATGGCAAGTTCAGCAGGCAAAGAGGCTGACTGCTAAAAATTAAGTGGGAGGTCCCTTCCATTCCATTGAAAGAACGTCAGGTGCCCCCCCCCCCCCGTTTTAATACTCCCTCCTACCCGACAGTCTACTCTGGTGTTTGCCTGTGTGTTGTCTTATGTAATTTTAAAGAAAAGGTCTGTTGCCCAGGGTAGTCTGTAACTCCAGGGCTTAAGCAATCCTCCTGCCTCAGCCTCTAGAGTTGCTGGGACTATAGGCATGCAGTACCATGCCCTGCCAGAGGTATTTTTATTGACTGGAATTGTCCCGAGCTGGCCTAAGTTTCCAGACTCCTTTTCTTCCAGGTCACCATGCACGCAGGGTCTCATCATCCCAAGCTGGCTGACTGGAGGTTATCCGATTGTTGTCTAACTCACCCAAAGGGAGGGAGGCCCCGTGAGAACATGGACCTAGAAGAGCTTTCACACAAGCTGCTTTCAACACTGCTCAGCTTGCCTCATCAAACTTGCTAACTCACCAAGCTGGAAACAATGCAGACTAAGGACATTTCTACGAGGAGCACTGGCTGAGACAATGCAGACTAAGGACATTTCTACGAGGGGCACTGGCTGAGACAATGCAGACTAAGGACATTTCTACGAGGGGCACTGGCTGAGACAATGCAGACTAAGGACATTTCTACGAGGGGCACTGGCTGAGACAGGGACTATTATGAAGACGGTCTGAGTAGGGCAGTGGCATCAAGATGGCTGTTCAGTGCCTTCTGAGGCAGCTTCAGGTCAGGCAGGCCCGGGATCCAACTCCTTCAGCTTTTTCTGGAGGCCCCGGAGCTGACTCCGACCCCAGTTGATTCGAGTCTGGAGGCTGGCTATATCCGCAGCCAGCTGAAGGCCTGGGGAGAGAAGAAGAAATCACTTAACCCACACCCTCACCTTCCCAGCACCTCACCTGTGCTAAACCATCATCCCCTCAAGCAAAAAAGCCTCCCTGACTCACTGTGCTCGCCACAATGAGTTCCAGTCCAGTCACAGGTGTCAAACCACAAGAACCCACACACAGTCGCCATTCAACTTTCCCTCAGCTGCTGCCTGCTGCCTGCTGCCACCACAGGTGAAACAGCTCCAGCCTCCCAGAGTTCCGGGCTCTTCTTTTTCCTTTACTCCTGCATCTAAAGCTGTTAGCAAACATGGGGGCGTCTGCTCTCAAAACAAGTGCAAGCTGCCACTTTTTACCTCACTTCCAATGCCTCTACCTACATACCATGGCTGGCCAATCCTGGCACCTGCTTCCTCTCTCCGTTCTCCAGTCTGACCCCACCCAACATCCCAAGGATTCTTGCTACTCTGTTGGTCCTACTGATTCCTCCTGATTCTGGACCAGCCCATGGACGCACTAGGGCCTGGCTCCTGGCTCTGCTGTGCTGGACCCCAGCCCTCTGGCCTCTTTGCTTTTCCCCCAGTTCCCATACCCCCTTATCCAGGGCTTCTACCCTGGAAACTAGACCAGCTGGGGTCTAGTTGATCTCCTGAGCTAGAACCCAGTTCCTCCATCCAGACCACTCACAAAGCTTCATCTTCTCGGGGAGGCCTTTCCTGTCCCATCTTCATAAACCAGCCCCCAGCCCACTCCCCCCCCCCCATGTTACTTTTTTCGTGGCTTCCAGAGCCTGGAACTACAACAAAAGCCTATTTGTTTGCCTATCTATTATACATTGTCTTTCTCCTATACAGAACAAACCTTCCATTGTATCCCTGCTACTATTATACCCTTAGCAGTTACCAAACATGAACCTAAAATGCTGGGAACAGCCTGCGAACACTTTGGGAAAAACCCCAGCAGACTTCAACACAGTCTGCTGATGTCAACCTGCAGAGTCCTCACATGCTCCCTATGGATAGCAGGCTGGAATTCGGTCCATGGCTACAAAGTCAACAACAGGGTCCACTCACCATCCCGGAAGCTGGCCTGAGCCTGCCGCAGACTGTGAGGGACCAGGATTCCAAACCAGTTCAAGGGATCTTGAGGGACCACAGGGGACCCTGACTCTTGGGTCTTGGTAGGGCCCTTGCGCCTTCGTAGAGCTGGAGAAAGAAAGGTTAAAGGCCATGCAGTCCTTGTGCCCACAACGATCTTATTAATCTAAGTTTGTGATCCTGTAAAACACCTAAGGTTAGAAATTTCCCCCAACAAGCCGAGTGTGGTGGCGCATGCCTTTAACCCCAGTATTCAGGGGGCAGAGGCTAGCCGATCTCTGTGAGTTCGAGGCCAGCCTGGTCTTCAGAGGGAATTCCAGGACAGAGAAACTCTATCTTGAAAAAAACAAAAAAAGAAAGAAATTTTCCCCAAACTCTTTTGGGTGTCTGGAAATAGTACTACTCTTCCCTTTGTAATCCAGACGACTCTGTGCCTATTGACTTCCAGAACATCTGATTCTGTCTGCCGGCAACAAGATCAGACTGACTTGTCCGTTTTCCCCGAAGTTCCCCATTAGGAATGACTAACTAGGATTAGAGGTTTATTTCCAGGAAGCGCCCAGATACAGAGATGCATATTTTCTGTTCGGCTGATGAGACTTCCTTTGACTGCAAAACCTATCCCACTATAAACGGCCCACCTCTAGCTTCCTATCAAAGTATAAGGGAAAGCCGCCCTCCTAGGACATTCCCATCTCCAGTGTAGACGCGCTCCATTAACCAGTGAGTTTGAGCTGACAGGAGGAAAGGGGACTTACATGCCTCGCGGGGCCCCACTTCCTCGGGGGTCTGGGCATCAGCTTTGATCACCCTGAAGGTCTGGGGTCCATCCTGGGCGTCGCTGAAGGAAAGGGGACGATGGATCTCTGGCCACGCCGGCCGACGTTCTCCCACCCACTCTACATCGAGGGCCTCTCACCTGGCGCGCACGCAGACCTGAGGCTCCATACGCGAGGCATACTGCAGGGGCCCTACCGACTTGGCACCCATGGCATAGCGAGCCTTGGCAAGCGAGAGCCATCCCTGGGGAGACAGGAGACCCTTCAGGCTCGCCTTCCCTCCCTGGGCTCGCCATCTGCCCCTCCCTCCATTCCCCGTGGTCCACCTCCTCCACCCGGGCGTTCAACGCCGCCCGCTTCGCCTCTAGTTCCTCCAGGTCGCTGAGTAGCTGCAGGAACCTCGAGTCTAACTCCTCCCGCAGGGCCGAGACCGCCATGGCCCAGCCGCTGTTAGGACGCGGATGAGCTAAGCCCCTCCTTCCAAGCCGCTTAATCACCGCCCATTTGCACGACAGCCAATCGGCGCCTGAGACCCGCCCCTAGGGAGCGTTTCTAGTCGTGGCCCGGAAGTCAAAGGCTACGACCTCCGGGTGACCCGTATCAACTGCCAGGGCGCTCCGGGAACCAGGACTCGGGCTAGCGCCCGAAGTGGAGCAGTTCCCGAATCAGATGGCTATGAAAAGTCCGGCCTTAAACTTAATTCCAGGGAGCCACCCATCCAGTTTCCCGCTTCCGCTCTTCGCAAGCCGGCGGCGTGGACAACTCAGGTCTCAGTGAAGCCGTGGGCAAGCTCGTTTATCCGGGGGCTGTCGTAAAGCACGTGACATTCCGAGTCCAGGTATTTGATTGGCTGCCCGACTGACCAATAACCTTGCGACGCCCGCCCTCTCCGCCATCTTAACATGGGGCACTCTGGACGGCCGTCGACTCGAGTGAAGCCTTTTTTGAGGCCTTCTTGGTTGAGGGCGGAAGGGAGCGCTGCGTGGTGCGGGCGGGCGCTTGAAGAGCACACGCTCGTGTCGGAGCGGCGCTCAACATGGTAGGATGTTTGAGTTCGTGTTTTGGCTTGATGGGGGCGGGGGAGGGGGACTAATGGAAGGCCGGGTTGCGGTCCTCGGAGGTCGGGACCCTGTCCGTTCTGTGACCCTGACTATTCGCTAGCTCCGTCGGGAGGCTCGCCTGCGCCGCGAGTACCTGTACCGCAAGGCCCGGGAGGATGCGCAGCGATCCATTCAGGAGAAGAAGGAGCGAGTCAAGCGTGCCCTAGAAGGTAAGGCCTCCCTATCCTGGTGGGGTACTTGTCCTTTCTAGAGCATACTTAGGCAGTCATTCATTGCCTGTTAGGTAGGACCGCTCAGCTGCATTGGAAATGCCATATTTAGCCGTGGTTGGTTGGTTCTGTATCCAGTGAGCTTTATGTCTCTTATCTGATTGTATATCACCCCTGGTACCTCTGACTAAATCTTCATTTTGCTCTTCCTAGGTTTTAGGACTGTAAATGTGTTGTGTAAAGTTTGTCTGAGTTAAGAAGCATAGTGTTGCCGGGCGTTGGTGGCGCACACCTTTAATCCCAGCACTCGGGAGGCAGAGAGGGGCAGGTGGATCCCTGTGTATCCGAGGCCAGCCTGGTCTACAGAGCGAGTTCCAGGACAGCCTCCAAAACAATACAGAGAAACCCTGTGTCTAAAAACCAAAAAAAAAAAAAAAAAAAAAGAAGCATAGTGTTAGGAATAGGATTGTACCTCAGTTGTTAAACTGCTTGCCTAGCACGAAGGAGGCTCTGGATTCTGACTCCAGCATGATTAAACTGGGCCTAGTAGCCTGTGCCTGTAATCCTGAGCTGGGGAGATAGAGGCAGGAGGACCAAGGCTTGCTCCGGCTGCATCAGTTTGGGCTATATAAGCATAGTGTTAAGCATCTGTGACCCGTCTTCATAGCTAAAAAAAAAAAAAGAGCCCATCAGTGGTGGTACACGCCTTTAATCCCAGCATTCGGGAAACTGTGAATTCAAGGCCAGCCTGGTGTACAGAGCTACACAAAGAACCCCTGTTTTGAGAAGAAAAAAAAATCCCAAGTGCTGGGATTAAAGACCAATATTGCCCGGCTGCACTTACTGAGAATCCAAATTCATTTCCCAGTACCTACATGGAGTGGCTCACAACCCCACTTCCAGGGTGTCCAGTGTCCCCTGGCCTCAGCAGCCACCCTCATACGTGTGCATGTAAACTCAGGCCAGCACACACATACACAGAAATAGCAAAGAAAAAATGATCAATATATTAGCATTTATAATGATCACTATATTAAATATTGCATTAAAAGGAACCCATTTTTTTGTTGTTTTGTTTTTACTGGGCATTGGTGGTACATGCCTTTAATTCCAGCACTAGGAAGGCAGAAGCAGGTGGAGTTCAAGGCCAGCCTGGTCTACAGAGCAAGTTCAGGGACAGTCAGGGCTACACAAAGAAACCTTGACTCGGAAGGAAGGAAGAAGCCGGGCATTGGTGGTGCACGCCTTTAATCCCAGCTCTTGTGAGACAGAGGCAGGCGGATCTCTGAGCTTGAGGCCAGCCTGGTCTACCAAGCAAGTTCCAGGACAGCCTCCAAAACAATACAGAGAAACCCTGTCTCAAAAAACCAAAAAAAAAGAAAAAAAAAAAAAGAAAAAAAATTTATTTATTTATTTATTTATTTATTTATTTGTGTATGCAGTGTTCTGCCTGCAAGTATGCTTGCAGGCTAGAAGAGGGCACCAGATCTCATTACAGATGGTTGTGAGCCACCATGTGGTTGCTGGGAATTGAACTCAGGACATCTAGAAGACCAGCCAGTGCTCTTAACCGCTGAGCTATCTCTCCAACCCCAGACAGAAAGAAGCCATTTTTAAGCTATTATTTTTGCTTATATTATACCTATTTAGAGTTTTTTGTTTTTGTTTTTTGGTATTTACGAGACAGGGTTTCCGAGGCTGTTAGTCCAGCCTGGCCTCGAACTCACAGAGATCCGCCTGCCTCTGCCTCACGAGTGCTGGGATTAAAGGCGTGAGCCACCACCACCCCACTCCTATTTAGAATTTTAAGTCTAAAGATATTAGAGTATATGTGTTTGACTGCTGTATTTGTTTGGGTGTGGATACTCTATTTCTAATTGTTTCTAAAATCCCAGGTATGGCTAGACATTCCTTTTTGTGAGTATCCCTGGGGATAATCCTTTTCTATGGCACATAGGAAATTATTCTCAATTGGTAACTAGATGGAATGCTGCTGCCATGACCCTCCCCTCTATCCCTACATGCTGGAGAGCAGAACTGGGCCTATGGATGGGGTATGAAATGTGCTTTATTTTCCAGAGTGGACACACTACAGCTTAGCCACTGACTGCCCACATTAGTCCACAGAAGTTGGACCCACAACCAGCTGAGGCTACGCACCTTGAAGTGTTCTATGCATCAAGACTAGCAATGTTCTTTTTATATAGTTTTGCTTTGTTGTTTTTGAGTCAGGGTTTTACTTGGTAGCCTTGACTGGCCTGGAATTCACTATGTAGACCAGGCCAGCCTCAAATTCATAGAGATCCATCTGCCTCTACCTCTGAAGCCCAGGCATGGACCACCACATCTGGCTTAGGTTCCTGGTGAGAAGACTTCGGGGTTACTGGTCTGCCTTCCTATATGAGGAGCAGTCTGTTTCTTTTAAAAAAGCAACTTTTGTTTTTGTAGCGTGCCTTAGCACCAGGGTCTTAGACTTGCAAGCAAACTGCCCACCATTGAGTTACCAAAACTTAAAGTTTTGTCTGGTTATAAAAATAATACATACTGATAATGATAAAGTGCTTTGGAAAATGAGCTCCCCTGGGTGCCATAAGTTGACAGTTAGGTGAAAGAGATTGGTAACTGGGTGTCATGCCATACCCTGTAATCGCAGCAGTTAGAAGCTAAGGCCATGCACATCTCAAGACCATGTCTCCACAACGAAATAAGTAGCTACTTCTCTGTCTCCTGGATTTCTGTACTGGCTGTTAAGGAGTACAGTGCTTTCCCGTCAAATCTGTGCAGACTAGTAAACCACAGTGTCATAAATTGATGGGACCCTGCTTGTGTCACACTCAGCCCCCTGTCTTTTCCTTACAGAAAACCAACTGATTCCCACTGAGCTACGCCGGGAGGCTCTAGCCTTACAGGGGTCCCTGGAGTTTGATGATGCTGGCGGGGAAGGTAAAACTGTTGTGCAGCCCTCTCCCACACTGAACCAACTTCTCTGCTCACTGGGCTTCCTGTCCTCTTCAGCCACCCTGGGCAGTTTCCCACCTGATGGAAGTGTCCAGGTGAGCTGTTTCTGTGCCCGCCCCAGCTTCCCTCCTGTTTGCCTGTGTGGCGTCTCAGGGCTTCTCCCTCAATGAATGCTTTCAGTTCCTTTTACACAATGATGAACACAGGAGCTTTCCCCCTTTGCTCACTAGAATATCTGCAGGAGCAGAACACTGTCCTTAGCACTGGTACCCAAATGTCTCCTTCATTGCATTGTGTAATAAACAGGAAAGGAACCCGAGACTATAGATACTGTTGTGAGGAAAGGGAGCCGCCCGCTTGTTTTAGCAGTTCAGAGTTTTGCCCAGTTCGTGTTCTCAGTTGTGCTTGGTAACCAATGGTGGCCGCCCCCCTGGCCACTAGAGGTGCATTCCATCAGTGAGGGTTCTCTTGAGCAGACTCAGCATTTTTCTTGTCTCGTTCTCTCGACAGGTGTGACCAGCCATGTAGATGATGAGTACCGATGGGCTGGGGTTGAGGATCCTAAGATCATGATCACTACCTCTCGAGACCCCAGTTCTCGTCTGAAGATGTTTGCAAAGGTACTAGGGGACGGGGAGTAGGGGATGCCCATGGCCGGTGGCACCAGTTCTAATGTGACATTGGTCCATGGGCAGGAATTGAAGCTGGTGTTCCCGGGTGCCCAGCGCATGAACCGAGGTCGGCATGAGGTTGGAGCACTGGTGCGAGCATGCAAAGCCAATGGGGTCACTGACCTTTTGGTTGTTCATGAGCATCGAGGCACACCTGGTAAGGCCTGCTGGAGGGGAAGGGAGCTAGGGCTGTTGTCATGGCAGAATGTCTGACAGCCTGTACCCTACAGTGGGGCTCATTGTCAGCCATCTGCCCTTCGGTCCCACCGCCTACTTCACACTGTGCAATGTGGTCATGCGGCACGACATCCCTGACCTGGGCACCATGTCAGAGGCTAAGCCTCACCTCATCACTCACGGCTTTACCTCCCGGCTGGGCAAGCGGGTAGGTAAGGGAGCCTTGGGGGGGAGTCGGAGTGGGGAGCAGGGAGCAGGCCCGCCACTTGCCACTCTCCTTTCCTGTGCCCCAGGTGTCTGACATCCTTCGTTACCTGTTCCCTGTGCCAAAAGACGACAGCCACCGGGTCATCACCTTTGCAAACCAGGACGACTACATTTCATTCCGGTGGGCCTATAGCGCTGAATATGGGGCATCGTGACCTTTGTGGACTTTTGACTGACCCAAAGCCCTACTGACTTACATACCTATCTCTGCTCCTTTCTTCCAGGCACCATGTCTACAAGAAGACAGACCACCGCAATGTTGAGCTGACTGAGGTTGGGCCTCGATTTGAGCTGAAGTGTGAGTTTGGCTTTGTTTATGGTAGGGGACGGGGTAAAATGAGGGGCTTGTTGCACATGGGATGACGCGTCTTTCTCCCGACCCCAGTGTACATGATTCGCCTGGGCACACTGGAGCAGGAGGCCACAGCGGACGTGGAATGGCGCTGGCACCCCTATACCAACACTGCCCGCAAGAGGGTCTTCCTGAGCACCGAGTGAGCTGCCCGCCCGCCCACCAGTCAGGCAGGAATTGCTCACAGACGTTTTTTTTTGTTTTTTTGGGGTTTTTTTTTTTTTTTGGTTTTTCGAGACAGGGTTTCTCTGTGGCTTTGGAGGCTGTCCTGGAACTAGCTCTTGTACACCAGGCTGGCCTCGAACTCACAGAGATCCGCCTGCCTCTACCTCCCAAGTGCTGGGATTAAAGGCGTGGGCCACCAACGCCCAGCTCTCACAGACATTTATAATCCCAAGTGGGGACTGGAAAGATCTAAATAAATCCTCTGTCATCATGCTACCCAACTGCCTCTAACTGGTCACAGTGGACCTACTCTCTGTCAGGCCAAACGTGAAAGATGAAGCCCATGGAGTGTCCATGGGTTGAAGACCTTCTGACTGTGGAGTGTCCTCAGGCCTAGTTTTATGTGGAGTATAAACAGTCCCTCTCAGGCTGGGGATGGTGGTACAGACTCCCCACTGGAAAATGCGTGGTGTCTCTGAGAGTTGGGCCCTGTGAGCACTTATTTAGATGGTTTAAGGGTGAGTCTTTTTCACCAGCAGCAAGTTGACCCCATTCAAGTGCCGGCCTAACTTAGCAGTTCAGTGGGGTCCCTGTGCCAAGTAGATGCATCCTCCCTCTTTTATAGGAGGCATGGTGACACTTGTGCATGGGCCTATCCAACAGCGCACAGGGAGGTGCCTCAAGGTTCTAAGTCTGTGCCCCAGCCCCTCCCAACCCCTTCCCTGTACCCACAACCTGTGCATCTCCAGGGATCCTGGGTTTGTGTAGAGTGGTTGTCAAGACCCTGCATTGCCCGAGAGTTTACAGAGAGAATTGGCGATGAGATCCATCGTGCAGGTAGAAGGAGGCCTCTGAGGAAGCATGTCATGACAGGATAAGGCAGATGTCTGCATGGAATCATGAAAGCCCAGTGATGGTGTGAGATAGCAGAAGCCATCTGGATGGCTTGTGCAAGGGCCTTGAGGCCCACTAAGAAGAGCTGAAAGGGAGACGTAGGACCCACGGAGGCCAGTGTTCTGGAAAGTCTGGGATGAGGTGACCATTACAACTCATGAATCCTGTTCCTCTGCAAGGCCTCTGGGATCCTACATGGCTTTGCTCCATCCTTGAAGAATGGACCTATGTGTGTGTGTTTGTTAAATTTTAAAACAAGTAAAACCATGTCATGTTCTGTGTTGTTTTCTTATAGCTGCCATAAGAAATTACTGTGGACCAGGTAATTCAACAGAAATTTGTTAGTTTTAGAGGTCATGGTACAAGGTCAGGGTTCACTCCCTCCTAAGGCTGAGTGTTGGGGTGGGGATCTGTTTGCTCTTTGGCATGCGATGGTTGCCAGCAACCCTTGACATTCCTTATTGTTGACAATAGCACCCTAGTGCCAGCCTTTGTCTTCCACGCTTCTGTCTACCAAACGTCTTGAATGCTTCTCTTACGAGGACCTGTGTCATTGTGTTTACGGCCTGTGGTCTGGGAGGGTCTCCTTATTTACACAGTTCTGAACTTCATTATATCTGCAGAGAGCCTTCTTTCAAATGCATTTGTAGTTAGTCTAAGAATAGGATGTCTCTATGTCTGTACTTTTACTTTATGTGTAAGAGTGTTTGCCTGCACATGCGCCCGTGTACCACTTGAATGCCTGGTGCCCGAGGAGAGCAGAAGAGGGTGAAGGATCCCTTGGTCTGGAGTTAGACAGTTGTGAGTCACCATGTGAATGCTGAACCTCAGTTTTCTGAAAGAGAATCTAAGTTGTTTTGTTTTTCAAGACATGGTTTCTCTGTGTAGCCCTGACTGACATGGAACTAACTCTGTAGACCAAGGCTGGTCCTGCCTCTGCCTCCTGAGTGCTGGGATTAAAGGTGTGCGCCACCACTGGGAAGATGTCATTTTCAAAGCTGGGAACGGCATTAATCTCATGGTCCTGGTATCTCCAGTATCCTGAGGTCTCCGTTGCAGTTTAGGCTTTACCATCACAGCTTCATGCAGTAACCTCTTGTACCAACCCTGCCACATTGCCCGGCTTTGTCTGCTCTTTGAAACCTGCAATACAACTCCTTGAACCCTTCAGTCTTGCATCTTTCATGGCTGAAAAACCAGGACCCACATAGATATGGTGCTGCCAAGTTCTGCTGCTAAGATGTGATGTAGCCTGGTATCCTTGGACCACAGCTGTATTAACTTTGGTGCTCACCTGGGAGGTGGGCTGACGACACTTTACTAAGCAGTTCCTTTCCAGGAACAGGGAACCCTCTGAACTGTTGGTTCAGGCTCTTTATAATACATTTGCACTTTCACAAGTTGGAGCTTTAGGTGGGTGGGTGGGATTTTCCCTGCAGGCATTCTGTAATTCAAGTGCCTTGACAAATGCTTTCCCTCAGTGGTACTGATTGCTTTAACGGTTATAGTTGCATCCTCATCACTAGCCTGGCTGCTCCCTGTCTTTGTCCATTAACTTTAAATTCAGTTTCACTCCAGCTCTCAGGACATGGCAGAATGAAGCCATACTCTTCGAGTGTGACACAGTTTTAAGCCCTTTACGCTCTGCTGGCAGTTCTCAGTTGCTTTTCCAGCCCAAAGTTCTAAACTCTCATTCCTCCAATCAGACAGGCTCCCCTGAGTCTACAAAGCACACGGTGAGGCAACCCCACTTCTCAGCTGCAACTTCTGTCAAAACACCCTGAGAAGTCACTTACGGAAAGACTGGTTTTGGCTCGAAGTTCCAAGACAGTTCCTTGGGACAGGGAAGTCATGGCAGTAAGAGTTTGAAGTAACATAGGAAACAGAGTAGGGCACACTGCTACTCAGCTAGCTTCTGTTCAGTCCAGGATTTAAGCCCAGGGAATGGTGCCACCAATTTTTAAGGTGGTTTTAGACTCAGCCTAACACAGTATCTCACATGTTTGTCTAGAGCAGTGCTTTTCAACCTTCCTAAGGCTGATTGACCCTTTAATACAGTTGTAGTGACCCCCTCAACCATAAAATTAGTTAGTTAGTTTTGTTTTTCGAGACAGGGTTTCTCTGTGGCTTTGGAGGCTGTCCTAGAACTAGCTCTTGTAGACCAGGTTGGCCTTGAACTCACAAGAGATCTGCCTGCCTCTGCCTCCTGAGTGCTGGGATTAAAGGCATGTGCCACCACGGCCCGGCCATGAAATTATTGTCATTGCTACTTTATGTATATTGATATATGGCTGTAATTTTTCTACTTTTTGAACATAGTGTAAATATTGTTGGAGACAAGAAGTTTGATGGGGTTGCCACCCACAGGTTGAATCACTGGCCTAGAGGCTAAGTAATCTCTTACAGGTGTGCCTCCTAGGTAATAGTAGATCCTGTTGACAGTCACACTATCACCATTCAGCCTCCAGAGGGCACTGAAGTGCAGGGTGGCTTTCTCCTTGGCTGTGTGTGTACCTGTAGCCCTGAGAGACTGATCTTGTTCCAAGGAAGGAATCATCGATTCAGAATACCGAAATCCGAGGAGACTGGGGAGCCCCAGAGGAGCTCTGCGGGAAACTGAGCTCCTGGGCACTGCTGAGCTCAAACTCCCGGTTTGCACATGGGGAGGGGTGTGCCTTCTGTTTGTGAAATGTCAAGCTTGTAGATGGCCAGGGGGACAGCTTTCAAAGACTGAGTGTTTCTTAACAGCGAAGCAGTGAAATGTATGTGTCGGGGAGGGTGTTTGACGTCTTCTTTCTCCACACCATTCGTTGAACTTTTTTGGTCCAATGGAAAAGGAAGCCAGAGAGCAATTGTGTATTAGGGGCTATCGGTAGCATCAAAGAATCTCCCCACTGCCCCTAGTTAAAGCACTGTCTCCCAGGTTTTCCCCCTTTGAAACAGCCGTTCAGACTGGGTCCTCACAGCACTCAGTCTTCAGTCTTGAGTGGCCTGTGGGGCAAACCCTGAGCATTGTTTTCTCTGTAGTGCCTCAGAGTCAAACATTCCTGCCCTCTCTTTTGCCAGCAGTCAGTCTGACCGGTTTTACCTGGACCCATTTCTGCTCCAGTTTGCTTTTGGTTGCTGTGATCAGCAAGCACCCTGACCAAAAGCCTGAGGAGGAAAGGGTTTCTTTGACTTACAAGTTACTGTGGTTATAATGGAGAGTGCCTGCTGCAAACTTCCTTATTCCACGAGGGATCAACCCCGGAACAGTTATAGTCAGATCAAAGCAAAACCCAAGTCCAGCGGTGCTGCACAATGTTTGCAGCTCAGTGTTTGACATCAGGTGCTCACTCCTCTGAGCCCCAAAGGATGGGCATCTGTGGTAGTTTGGAGGAGAATGGCACCCATGGCCTCAGATATGTTTGATTCCCAGCTGGTGGACTGCTTAAGAAGTGTTAGGTGTGGCCTTGGAGGAGGCGTGTCACAGGGTGGGCTTTGAGGTTTAGAAAGCCCAGTCTTCCCGTCTGTTTGCTGCGCGGGGATGTGTGAGCTCTCAGCTACTGCTCCGGCACCATGCCTGCTGCCACGCTCCCCACCACGGTGGTCGTGGATTCATTCCCCGAAACGGTAAGCAATCCCTGAATTAAATACTGAATTTTATAAGCTGCCTCGGGCACGGTGTCTCTTCACAGCAATAGAACAGTAAGACAGTCCCATTTCTCTGCCTCTGCTATCTGCAGCACACACAGATTGTCTAGGAAGCGCCGGCTGGCTCCTCTCTGTTAACTGTCCTTGGCTGACATCCCATAGTCTCCAATATGCTGGGGTCTCCACTGCAGCTAGGAAGCCACCTTCACCAATGGCTTCTCTTGGCCTCCTCCTGGACCCTGAGCCTTTCATGGTGCCAAATTTCAGCTTCGTGACCCCTTCAGTGCTGGCTTCCACTGAACCTGAGACTGCACCTCTACCAATAGCGTCTCTGCGGAGAGACTGCCCCCTGACTAGTCTTCCTTGCTCTTGATGATGCCCCTTTATGCCTACAGACCAATTCCCTGTGGGAGGCTTTTACGCATGACCAAGTTCAGCTACCAGCTTGAGATGCAGCCTTGCCCCCAGCCCAGACGACCCCTTCTATATATTGACCCAGGGGAAATAGTTTCCAGATTTCACCTCAATCATTCTGGCCTCTTTCTAACTGCAACTCCTTTTCCAGCATCCATTGTCCCAGTAGAGCAAAGAAGGTTTTGCTTCCAGGTTCTGGATTCAGATCTACCACACAAATGGAACTGAGAAAGATTCTCTGACGTCCCTCAGAAACACTGTAAGCCGGTCCCCCTCATCTTCTCTTCCAAGGTCCTACAGAACAGTTCATTAATACTCGATGACTTTTCCAGTCCAAAGAGCCAAAATCCTCTACAGTCCTCCCACAAATCAACACTGTCAGGTTCAGCACAGCAAAAACCCACGCCTAGTACCAATTTCTGATCAAGTTGTTTTGAGTAGCAGTTACAAACATCGTGACCAAAGACAACTTGGAGAGTGTCCTGGCAAGTTGTATATCAGCCTGACACAAACCATAGTATTTGGGAAAAGGAAATCTCAACTGATAACATGCCCCCAGCAGACTTGCCTGCGGTCTATTTTCTTGACTGATGGTTGATGTAAGAGGACCCAAGCTCACTATGGGCAGTCCCACCCTTGGGCTGCTGTTCCTAAGAAAGCAGTTGAGCAAGCCAGTAAGAACACTCCGTGGTGTCTGGCTCAGTTCCTGCCTACCAGGCTCCTGTCTTGAGTTCCTGCTTTGACTTCATTTGAAGATAGACTGTGATTTGGAAGTGTAAGTGAATACATCCTTTCCTCCCCTAGTTGTTTTTGGTCATAGTGATCACAGTAATAGAAACCCTATCTAAGGGAAGAAAAAGTTTATTTGACTTACAGGTCATGGTCCATCACTGAGAGAAGCCACGGAAGGAACTCCTCAGAACCGGGAGGCGGGACTGAAGCAGAGCCCTCTGAGGAATGCTGCCGTACTGGCTCACTTCCTCCTATTTGGGCCCAGTCACCTTTCTTCAAATTACACTTTTTTTCCCCTGCCAGCTTTCTTATACAGCCAAGGGCCACCTACCTGCCTGGGGTAGTACTACCCACCATGGGCTGGACCCACCACATCCAGTAGCAGTTTAGAAACATACACCCCCATTCATGTCTACAAGCCAAGCTGATGGAACAGAGACAGTTCTCCAACTGAGGTCCCCTCTCCTCAGATGTGTCAAGTTGACAATCAAGATTAACCCTTAAGAGAGACAGAATCCCAAGAAAACAGACTCCCATCTGGGTGGCCAGACAGACTTTTAGACAGATGAGAAGGTAGACATTTATACAGATCAGTGGTCCCAGAGAAATAGAGCCGCTCTTTCCTTGCCGACTAAGATTAATCCCAGCCGAGCAGAAGACAAAATATCTCCATAGAGCAATACCCCAGTGGAGACCTACCTCATCTTCCCAGTCAGCATTCAGATGGGCAGACCTACTTACTAGCCAAACTTGAGCCTATGGGAAAAAGATACCCCTTTTCTCCAGAAAGGATACCTCCTTCTGGAGAAATAGACTGCACTGGGCCTCCAGGTTGGATTCTCAGGATCTCCAGCTAGCAAAGCAGAGATTCCCCAGGCACTGGTCAGCTTTCCCGCCCCCTGCTTATTACCATAGCTGCTCCACTGACCTCTCAGTAGCCACTGCTCCTGGGTACCACCAGTATCCAATGACCACAGCCCGCCAGTCATATCTACTGCTGCTCCATAGAGACCTTCCACAATACCGCAGTGACACGCCTCCATTTGTTCTGGAATGACCAGGCTTAGAATGACTGTCATTAGTCATCTCGGACCTGGCTTCAGTGACCCCTACCTTCACCGAGGTCATAGACATATGTACGCCTCCCTGAGTCACCCAACCCAAATCCATGCTCCAGGCACCAGCAATCCCAGTGGCATTTACTGGTCACCTTCTGCTTCCTTGGGAACCAATACTGCAAGTCTCTGTGACCTCTCAGTTAATTCATTGACCTGCACCCTGCCCAAGATGACACCAATTTTCCGATCATTGTTAGTAACATTCACTGACCTCCAATGAACCCACAATTACTGACCATCCTCAGTCATCCCTGCTGACCCCCTTAGAACACACAAGTATGATCAGTGGCTCCTCAGTAGCTCACAATAGTCTAAATGCCTGCCTTTAAAGGCTTGAAACAGTATTCCTCCATAGTTCCATACACATGTAATGTACTTTGATCATATTCTTCTCATGTCCTCTATAATCCCCTTCCTCTTCCTGCAGATCCCCTTCTTCTCAAGTCCCCTTCCTACTTTCTTGTCCTTGGTGTGTGTGTACCCCACAGCAGTGAAGTGGGGTTGCCTGACTAGGCATGGGTAAGAGGGGTCACTCACTTGAGTAAGGGAAACTTAACAGTTGCTGCACCACTGAGGAATATGACCCCCCTTCCATACTGTTAACACCCACAGCTTCTCAGGGAGGGATGAGGCCTCCTGTCTCAACCATGATGGCTCTTTGATCGGCCCACCCAGAGTTATGAGTTCATGGGTGCAACTGCTGTGTCATATCCAGAAGACGATGTTTCATGGCACCTCTCATCTGGCTCTTAGATTCTTTCTGGCCCCATCACCACTATGCAATGTTCCCTGAGCCTTGTAGAGGTGGCACAGATGTCCCTTATAAAGCTGAATACTCAACAGTTACTTACCCTCAGTATTTGGGGGGAGGAGTTGAGATACGGTTTTTCTGTGGCTTTGGAGGCTGTCCTGGAACTCACTCTATAGACCAGCCTGCCTCTGCCTCCCAAGTGCTGGGATTAAAGGTGTGTGCCACCACCACCCGGCTACCCTCAGTATTTTAACCAGTCTGATTTTACTCTCATCTCACTATTTAAGCTAGGTCCAGCAAACTAGAGTGTACAAACCACAAATTTTAAAAATTTGTAACGAAATTCAAGGATTGGTGTCAATGCAGTTTCTAAAACATTAAAAAAATTTATTTGGCCAGGCAGTAGTGATGCATTGGGGGGGGGCAGAGGCATCCGATCTCTGTGAGTTCCAAGCCAGCCTGGTCTAAAGAGCGAGTTCAGGACAGCCAGGGTTACACAGAGAGACCCCAAAATGAATTTCATTTTATGCATATGAGTATTTTACTTACCTGTGTATCTGTGCCATGTGCATGCCTAGTGCTTGTAAAGGCCAGAAGGGGGCGACAGAGTCAGAACTGGAGTTTCTGATCATTGTGAGCCAACATGTAGGTGACAGAAACTAAACTCAGGTCCTCTGGAAGAGCAGCCACTGCTCTTAGCTGTTGAGCCATTGCTCCGGCCCCCTAAGCGTCTTTTAATTACATTTACTTGTGTGTTTATGCACAGGCTGTGCATGAGGAGATCAGAGGATAGCTCTTGGAAGTGGTTTTCTCCTTCTACTATGTGTGTCCCGGGGATGGAACTCATAATTGACAGGCTTGGCAGCGAGGTCATTACCTAGTGAACCATCTTACTGCCCTCTTCCCCCTTTCAATGAAAACAAATTTTGGGTACAGCCACACATACCCTAATACACCATCTGGCTGTTTTTGTGCTGGCAAAGTGAAGTATGAAGGACAGAGATCAAATACTGAAGCCCAAACCAGTTCTTGTCTGGTTTTTCAAGGTGCTGCCCATTCCTTCACTTAAACACTGTGACGACCATTAAATTGACAGCCTGTTACCAATGGCCCCACTGCTCTTTCAGTACCTAAAGCACTTTCAGTCCTAGCCCTACCCTTCCACAGGCAACCCCAAACTGATTTCCCCCAGCCCTCCTCAGCAGAGGGTTGGCAGCCCTTAACATGCTTTGGCTACCCTGCAGGCGGTGCTAGCCCATAAACTAAGCCTGTGTTCTGGCAGCCCCCCTGTTTATTTTATGTTGTGTGTGGCGGGGATGTGCCCTCACCAAGAATCTGTGTCGTTGTCAAAATTGACTTTCGGGAGTCAATTTTCTCCTTCCGCCACGTGGGTACTAGGTATCAAATCCAGGTCGTTATGCATGGTGGCAAGTGTGCCTGTACCCACTGAACTATCTCACCAGTCCCTCATCGTTTAAAAACAAAACACTCCCTTTTTGTGGGGACACCAGACCTTGAACAGAGACCCACTTCCCCTTCGGCCTGGGAGTAGGCAGCTGTAAGACAATGTTCACTGAAAACATGTTTACTGAAAACAATTCAGTGCCATAAAGCTCTTGGTAGGGCTCCTATAAGGGCTCGCTCACTGAAACACCATGACTTTGATCCCCCCTACGGCTAGATGCTTCTTCCTGCTCCCTGTTGTTTCTCCCCGATTCTGGTGCCGGAGAATTAACTACCAGCCAGGAGGGTGAGAAGTCTGTGAGAGCTCGGTTGGAGAATTGTGTGTGTATGGATGGCAGAAGTCCTTAAATAGGGAAGCGTTTTTTCTTGGGGAGTTCTCCTAAGCCGACTTGTGGAGCATAAAGTTTTCTTAATGCAACCTACCGGTCTCTGTGTCATCTATCCCGACCACCTCGCTACATTCTCGGATGCAGGCTGCGCAGGCAGGTGCGACACCTTTTCTCCCCTTATGAGACAGGGTTTCATATATCATAACCTCTTTTTGAACTCACTGTGTAAGCGAGGGTGACCTTGAATTTCTGCTTCCCTTGCCTCCACCTCTTGAATTCTGGGACCTATGGGGCGCTGGAAATGAAACCCAGAGCTTCCTTCATGCTAGGCAGGCACTCTGCCAATTCAGCTACAACCTTAAAGCAGCTCCCTTTCCAGGACCCCAGGGGCTTTAGCAACGACTGTTCTTCAAACTCCTGAAGACAGAGGATGTGGGTGGGGGAGAGGGTGTTGTCTCCAAATGCTGACACCCGTTTTCCCGTGAACTCTTTTCCAGTTCTCTCCTCTTCTTCCTAGAAGGGTGTGGGATAAGAGCTTCATGTTGGGACTAGATCCCGGTGTCCCCGCTTTGCCAGCAGGTCCCAGAAAGAGAAAGACCCTCAGGTGCAGCTGTGGACGTCTGCGAGCTACAGGCTGAGTGGCCTCACTACTCATTTGCAGCAGGGAGGTGCTGGATTCACCCTCACTACTCCATTGCAGCCTTGGGAACCTGGCGTGCGACCTTAAGAGCGCAGCCATACACCGGGAAAGGGACGCGGAGGTGAGCCCGGTCTAGGAACTGGTTCAAGCGGGTCCGAGCGTTCCGGGAGGCTGCATGGCAACTCACCCGAGGCTGTATGGCAACGTAGGCACCTGAGGCGCCATCGGGGCGCCATCGGGGAATTGCGGGTGGGACAGCCACAGGACGTCCAGTTCTACAGCAGCCTCAGCCGCAGCCTGTGGGCGTGACAAAGCGGAGGGAGCGCCGAATGCAATTGACAGAGGGGCGTGGCTTTCCGCCAATACCGGTCTTCATTGGCTGCTGGAACCGAGGCCCCGCAGTGTCTAAACTCCTGGGGGGTCAGCTCGCCCCGTGCACACACCTCGCTGGCGGGTCGCAGCATGAGTCGCCACTTGGACCTGGTGAGGAGCTTCCTGGAGCAGCTGGAGGCCCGGGACCACCGGGAGGGAGCAATCCTTGCCCGCGAGTTCAGCGTGAGTGACACTCCAGCGATCAAGCTTCGCAGCCAGGCCGTACCCACCGCCGTCCACCTGTGCAATGGGAAAGCTCTGCCTGCTTCTCTCGGTTCCTGGGACGGTCTCCTGTCTCCGCCTCTCTGGTTTCCTCTCCCAGCACCTCTGTCGGGCTCTCACTCTCTTTCAGCCTTTCTCACTCTGCCCGCAGGTGCCCGGAGGGTGAAGTACACCGCTGTCGGGGAGGAGCGGGACACACTGGCGTCCGCGTCGCGCTCCCGGAGTGACCCTTCTCCCTAGCAGGGCGGTGGCTGCTGCTGGGAAGGGAGGCGGCACACCTGCGCTGGACTCCACTCCCCGACCCGGGCCACTCCTGGGTCACCTTGTAATCCCTGGGAGGAAGTGGTTTGGGACAGCAGAAAGGGGAACAGGGAAGCTTTGTCGTTTAGCCTTTGAACTCCGGAGTTTCCAGTTTCAAGTCTATGCCCAGGGCCTTTCAGAACTGTGACCCTGGGAGATCTGGTCTCAAGTTTCAACTGTTTTGAAACTATGAATGTTAAAAGCCAAGTTGGTCTAAGAAATTAGGTGGTTTTGGTAGAAACACTTAGCACATATTGGGTGCTCATTGGTTGGGTGCCTTTAACGTGGCTCACAAAACTTCTACATCAGGTAGTGCCAATCAAACTTGTGAGAGGGACTACCACTCAGTAGGCATGGCACGCACCAGGTAGTGAAGTATTGTAAATGTGTAAACATGCTGTATCAAACTTAGGAATATGCATTATAAATGTATAAAAACAAATGCGACATTAAATGACCACTTACAGCCCAGCATAGTGAGTGGTACATGCCTATAATTCCAGCAACTGGTAGCCTAAAACAGGAGGATCACCGTGAATCCAAGGCCAGTCTGAGCTCCATAATTTGAGGTCCCTCTGAAATACAGTGTGAGCTTGTCTCAAAGAAAGAAAAAGATAGTTTACACAAAGACCATTATGTAACCCGATGACAATTCAACATGTGGTGGTGCATGCCTTTAATCCCAGTACTCAGGAGGCAGAGGCAGGCAGATCTTTGTAAATTTGAGATCAACCTGGCTTTTTAGAGAGCTCCAGGATAGCCAGGCCTATGTTTTAAAAAAACCTTGTCTAAAAAAATCAAAATGAAAACTAACCAAATTAACAACAACAATAAAAAACAATGACAATACCATAATACATACAACAAACATCAATAGCTGAATTTATTAAGTTCATTTATAAAATACAGAACAAACAGATATAAATTAAATGTGAATATAAATAATTTACACATGTAATATGCTATAACATAAGAAATGTAAGTATTACACATAATACTTATGTATTTATAATGCTACATATACTATATACACACATATATATATGTTTCTCTATGTAGCCTTGGCTGTCCTGGAACTCTATAGACCAGGCTGGCCTCAAACTCACAGAGATCCACCTGCTTCTGCCTCCTGAGCTGGGAATAAAAGTGTGTGCCATCACCAATGGGCCTAAAATATATAATTTATAAACAAGCAAACGTGCATAAATATGCATGTGGTGTAACTTCCAGGTTGACGAAGAAAGCAGTTCTGAGGGCTCCATGCAGAATCTTGCACACACTCAAGCAACGACTCACTCACGCACTCACTCACTCATGCACTCACTCACTCATGCACTCACTCACTCATGCACTCACTCACTCATGCACTCACTCACCCATACACTCACTCACTCATGCACTCACTCACTCATGCACTCACTCACTCATGCATACACTCACCCATACACTCACTCACTCATGCACTCACTCACTCATGCATACACTCACCCATACACTCACTCACTCATGCACTCACTCATGCATACACTCACCCATACACTCACTCACTCATGCACTCACTCACTCATGCACTCTCTCACTCATGCACACACTCACACATATACTCACTCACACATACACTCACTCACACATATACTCACTCACACATACACTCACTCACACATATACTCACTCACACATACACTCACTCACTCATGTACTCACTCACTCATGTACTCTCTCACTCATGCACTCACTCACTTATGCATTCACTCACATACTCACGCACTCACGCACTCACTCATGTGCTCAGTTACTCATGACTTCACTCCAGGGCTTTGATTTTTCCACTCTGTGATTGAAATTCCAACAGTGACATCCACTATAGAAAAGTAGGGCTGGAATAACCTGATCAACATAAGTAAAGCACTTTGGAATGGAGGCCCAACTCAATGGCAACTTGATGTGGTTTATTACCATTGCAATTATGAATATCTGCTAATAAGAGTAGTCTTCACTAATTATAAAGTACCTATAGCATCTTCTTATAAGTTATATATTATAATTCATACATATGACATATTGTCATGTTGTACCTTGTATAAAGCATTTATTTTAAAATCTTGTGTATGAGTGTGTGTGTGTGTGTGTGTGTGTGTGTGTGTGTGTGCAACTATGAGAGTTGATTCTCTCTACCTTACGAATCCTGGTGGTCAAACTCAGGTCATCAGGCTTGGTAGCAAGTACCTCTACCCACTGAGTCATCTCCCTCACCCCAGTTTCATTTGTTTGGGGTGGGGGTCTTTTGCATACCACAGCACCTATGTAGAGGTCAGAGAACAAGTTTCTTGTGTTGCTTCTCACTTCTTATTATGATGTGGGTTCTAGGGATTGAGTGCAATTCTTCAGGCCGGAACACCAAGTGCTTTTACCCACTGAGCAAACTTTTAGGTCTAGATAATGCACTTTTTATTATTTATAGTACAGTATAATGCGGATTGAGTGTGTAGGTCTGAGAGGTCAAGATCCTTGTGGGACCTTTGGCAAGTTGCTACCACTTCCTACATCAGTTTTCATCTGCCCAATGGGTACAGTGGTGAGTTTCCACTTAGGAAGACAGAATTGCCCAGCTCTGGGCACATTTTTCCACTTGCTGTTGCTGGGTATTATTACACAGATCCTTATGCCAATGGGCGTGCACTAGTCTTTCCTAGTCTGTCGAACTCTTTGGATGTTTCAGCATCCCAACACTCTGACCTGGCTTCTTTCTTCTTCTCTCTCTCCTCTTCTCTTCTTTTGGCACGTGGTGTCTTCTACCAGGATATTAAGGCCCGCTCGGTGGCCTGGAAGACTGGAGGTGTGTGCTCCACTAAGGTTGGCAGTCGGCCTGGGAACATGAAGAAGAACCGCTACAAAGACGTGGTGCCATGTGAGTCAGCGCTGCTTTCAGGAACGCTAGGTGGCAGAGCCCCAGTGGCAGCAGCTACCCACTGCTGTCCCCAAGAGCTCCCCAAAGCATTCTACCTCCCACACTTGGGGCAGCTGCATTATTCCCTGAAGCCACAAGGGACAGTGTTCTGCTACCCTGCTTGCTTCTCGCCTGGGATACTTGGCACACGCCTCTCCATGTGTCTCACCCTGGCAGATGATGAGACACGCGTTATCCTTTCCCTGCTCCAGGAGGAGGGACATGGAGATTACATCAATGCCAACTTCATCCGGGTCAGGCTAGTAACTCGGGAAGAGGTGGCTTGGGTGGGGGTGGGGAGGGTGGGCTTCAGGACCTTGTTAATGAATGGGCCTTTCCCAGGGCACAGATGGAAGCCCGGCCTACATTGCGACACAAGGACCCCTGCCTCAGACTCTGTTGGACTTCTGGCGCCTGGTTTGGGAGTTTGGGGTCAAGGTGAGCTTTCAGGGACAGAGGGGCAATGCTCTGAGTCTCCCTCCTTCCTGTTTCTCCTTACCAACGCCCCCCCCCCTCTGTCTTTCCCCTCTTGTCTAGGTGATCCTGATGGCCTGTCAAGAGACAGAGAATGGATGGGTATGCATCCTCAACCTCCCAGAATGCAAGGAAGGCGTGTGTAGGGAGGAGGGAGAAGGAATCTTGGGGTTTACTTCTTTTTTTCTTTTTTGTTTTTCGAGACAGGGTTTCTCTGTATTGTTTTGGAGACTGTCCTGGAACTAGCTCTGTATACCAGGCTGGCCTCGAACTCACAGAGATCCGCCTGCCTCTGCCTCCCAAGTGCTGGGATTAAAGGTGTGCGCCACCAATGCCCGGCTAGGGTTTACTTCTTGTAAAGGACCCTGGGCCCAGTCCTTGGCTGACTCCACTATAGCTCTATAAAAGCCGCTAGTCATAGTTTTGCCTTGAGCTTTTGTGGTGGTTTTTGTTTTGTTATTCTGAACCCATATTGTAGACTAGGCTGGCCTGGAACTCACAGAGATCCTCCTGCCTCTGTCTCCTGAGTGCTGGGATTAAAGGTGTGCTCACCCACCACCTGGCTGCCTTGATCGTTTTGCTTTTGATCATGGGGCTGTCCCCTCAGTGCTGTCAATCTGGGCTTTCCACCAGCCCATGACATGGTGGAGGACCTGTACTGAACAGTTTCACCTCTGCTCCTTCTGGACCCCTCCTGCTTTTCTTACACTGGCCTTGGCTATTCCTCAGATGAGCCCGAGAGGGTTCTGCCTTAGACATTGCTCACTCAGTTACCTGGATCGTGGCATGGCTTCCTGCTCCCCAGCATGCCCACCTGTAACTCTTCCCTGTATTTTTCCATATCTTCTCTACCTCAACAGCTCTCATACACCTCAGTGCGTTGGATAATTCTAAATGTGAAATGCACATCACAATGGTGTGATGACACTACGCAAGCTATTGTTTGGCCTTTGAATGTCCTTTTACTGGAGTACAGATCACCCGTCTAGCCAGGCATTGCAGCTCCCCCTCTACTTGGAGCACTTAGGAGGCCAACGTGAGAGGGTGGGAAGTTGAGGTCAGCTTGGGCAACTTAGGAGACCATCAACATTTTCACCACCCCGTTAGCAGTCACACCCCATGTTTAGAGGCACAGGCAACCCCCAGTTTATTTCTGATCACTGCAGGTTTGCCTACTCTGCATGCTTCACATACAGCGGAATTGGGCAGTGTGTGTGCCTTTTGTTCCTGGCTTCTTTCTCTTTGTGTTTTTGGTTCTTGCATGTAGAAGTGTGTTCATAGTTTGCTCCTTTTTGTTGCTGGCTAGTACCCCAGTGAATGTTTCTGCATTTCACTCCTCTAAGCAGTTTGTAGATGCTGGTTTATTCATTCATATGCAAGCCTTCGAGTGGATGTGAACTTTCGTTTCTCGAGTATATATGGGGTGGAATTGCTGGGTCACGGAGGAACTCTATTTTTAACTCCATTTTAAGGAAGTGACAAACTGTTTTCCATAGTAGCTGCATCAGGTTGCATTTCCAGCCACCAATGCATTACAGCCCTGGCTTTGTTAGATCCTCACCAGCATTAGTTATTCTCTTTTTAAATACATTTCACTTATTGGGTGCGGGGGCATGTGCATGCATATGCTGTGGAATGAGGGTGGAGGCTAGGGAAAGCTTTGGGAATTGGTTCTCTTTTTCCACCATGTGGGCTCCTGCACCTGAACACAAGGTCAGCAGTCCTGGCTGCAGGTGCCTTTTCCTGATGAGCCATCTTGCCTGTCCCTGCTTCTCTCTCTGTATAGCCGTTGTTGGGAATATGAAGGAGTCTCTAACTGGGTCTTTTAAAACTTTTAACACATATACAAAATATATATAAACATAAAATTTGCCTTTTAAGATCTGAAAAGATGTTTGAAAGTTAAGAGTACTTGTTGCTCTTATAGAGGACCTTCTAGAACTCAGCTTACAACTGCCTGTATTTCCAGTCCCAGCAAGATCTGATGCCCTCTTCTGGCCTCATTGGGCACCTGAACACATTTAACATTCATTCAGACAGATACACAGACACAGACACAGGCACACACCGACACACACACACACACACACACACACACACACACTCACTCACTCACACACGCACGCACAAAGTCCCCCTTTCCCCTGGTCCTGGTCATCTGTCTTCAGTCTCCATTGAATTGCCTGTTCTTGTTGCATCATGTAAACAGGATTATAAAGTAAATGTCCTTCTGTTTCTGGTTTATTTCATTGCTGTTTTCAAGGTGTGTTCATGTTGTCACATCAGACTTTCACTCCTTTTAAGACTGACTATGCCATTGCTTTGTCATATTTCCTTTGCCCATTCTTGTGTTGATAGACGTTTGGGCCACTTCTACCTTTTAGACTACTTTGGATAATGCTGTTTGCACATACTGGTAAAGTTATCTGTCTGACTCTGGTTTTTGTTTTACTTCATTTATGTGTGCCGGTGTGTATGTACTTGTGTCTGTGTGTCAGTGTACGCATGTGTGTGGTTATGGGTATGGTTATGGGCGTGGCACCTGTAGGCATACATCTCACTATGTCGCCCCTGCTGGTCTGGAACTCAATGTGTAGACAAGGTTGGTCTTGAACTCACAGAGATCCACCTGTCCCGGCCCCCTGCTCCTGCCACATTGCTAGGTTTAAAGGCTTATGACACTTTGTCTGACTCTCTTATTCCTTTTGAAGCAGAATCTGTCTCTGAACTCAGTGCTTGAATTTTCTCAGCTAGCTTAGAAGCCAGCAAGGCCCAGAGATCTTCTGTCTCTGCCCACCTCTGAGCCGGGGCTGCAGGTATACGAGGGATGCCTGGCTTGTTAAATGGGTTCAGGGATCTGAATTCCAGCGCTCATGGTTGTACAGCAAGCACTCATAACTGCTGAGCTATCTCTCTAGCACCCTCTACTTTTCAAATCTTTTCATGTAAATCCGCAGTAGAATTGCTGTTTAACTTCTTTTCCACAGAGGCTGTACCTTTTACAATTCCACCAGCTAGGGCTTTGAGTTTCTCCAAATGTTCACTAACACTTGCTATTGTGTGTGTGTGTGGTGTGTGCTCTTGCACACATATATGGAGACCAGAGGAGGTTCTCAGGTATCCCGTTTTATCAACTTCCTGCCTTTTCCCCTAGAGACAGGGTCTTCCACTTAGCCTGGAGCTAGGCTGACAACCAAGCCCCAGTGCTCTTCCTGCCTCTGCCCGTACAGAGCAGGGGTTACAGGTGCAACCCAGTCTTTCCATGTAGGTGCTGGGTATTTGAATTCAGATCCTCATTCTTGTTCAGCAGTTGCACTTACCCATGAACCATCTCCCCAGCTCAACAGTCATTATTTTCTGCTTCCCACTCACTAGGAAACCACTCACAGGGATACAGAGATGGCTCGGTGGTTAAGAGTGCACTCTGCTATTGCAGAGGACCTGGATTTGGTTCTTAGCACCAACGCCAAGTGCCTCACAGTCACTTGTAACTCCAGCTCCAGGGGATCCAACAGTCCTGGCCTCTGCAGGCACCCCCATTCACATGCACGTGACCTTTCCAAATAAACATAACAAAAACAATTTTTTAAAGACGTTTTCTCTGCATAGCCCTGACTGTCCTGGAACTCACTCTGTAAACCAGGCTGGCCTTGAACTCAGAGATCCACCTGCCCCTGCTTCCTTATTGCTGGGATTGAAGGAATGTTTTTATCCTGAAGCTATGTTGGTTTGTCAAGTGTTTTCCCTCTCCTTCTACTCATATGACCCAGTGTTTTTGCTATGTAGTCTATTAATATGAATCTGACACGAATTGGTTGTTTTTAATTGCCTTTTCTTTTTCCCCAGAGAGGGTTTCTTTGTACTGTTTTGGAAGCTGTCCTGGAGCTCACTCTATAGACCAGGCTGGCCTCAAATGGCCTCGAACTCACAGAGATCCGCCTGCCTCTGCCTCCCGAGTGCTGGGATTATAGGCGTGCGCCACCAACGCCCGGCTCAAGGTTTCTTTTTTAATTCCAATATTCTTAGGCTATCACATGGTTACCTTCTGGCTTACATATTTCTGAAAGAAATTATCATCCTTTTTTTTTCTTAAAACGGGTTTCTCTGTGTAGCTTTGGAGCCTGTCCTGGCACTCGCTCTGTAGACCAGGCTGGCTTCGAACTCACAGAGATCCACCTGCCTCTGCCTCCCGAGTGCTGGGTTAAAGGCGTGCGCCACCAATGCCCGGCTGCTTTCTTTCTTTTTTATTATTATCATTTTCCTTCCTTTTTTTGTCAGTTGGGTCATGGTGTGCTTCGACGTTGTTCTGTATGTATTTCCTCCCACGGTGCAGATTATCTACTTTATTAGTCTCTAGTTTATCAGCTTTGGGAAACTTTCAGCTTTTATTTCTTTAAGTATGATTTCTGTTCTCTCTGGGACTAGAGAGATGGCTCGGTGGTTAAGAGCACTGACTGTTCTTCCAGAGGACCTGAGTTCAATTCCCAGAATCCACATAGGGGCTCACAACCATCTGTAGCTCCAGTTCCAAGAGATCCAATACCCTCTTCTAGCCTCAGGCACCAGGCATGTTCCTAGTGTCCACACATGCATGTAAGCAAAACACCCAAACACATACAATAATGGACTAATTTTTTAAATTAAATTTTTCTCCTGTTCTCTCCATTTCTCCTCTTCTGGACTCCAGGTACCACCTGGTGTGTCCCACAAAGGACTGATTCCCTTGTTTTTCTATCATCTTTCTTTGCTTTGCTTCTGTTGTAAAATCTTCCTGTTCATTACTTTTCTTTCTTAACCTGCTATTAGTGAATTTCAAGTGTTGTAGAATTCCATTTAGGAGTGGTTTTGCATTTTTTTTTTTTGGTTTTTATGAGACAGGGTTTCTCTGTATTGTTTTGGAGGCTGTCGGTCCAGCCCAGCCTCGAACTCACAGAGATCCACCTGTCTCTGCCTCCCGAGTGCTGGGATTAAAGGCGTGCGCCACCACCGCCCAGCTGTGGTTTTGCATCTTACACTTGTTCTTTGTTGTATTCATCTTTCCATTTTGACTATTTATACTGCTACTTTAAGGTCTTTGCCTCTTTCCTCTGTTGCTTCTGTTTTTTTTTTCTGCTCCCTGATTATTTCCCTGGTAACAAATCACATGTTATTATACCTTTGTTTGTCAAGGACATTTTTATTGGATGCTGGGTGTCTTAAGGGTTGCATGGTTCAGTGTCAGATTGTGTTGATTTTCATTAAAGAGTGTTTCAAGTGCTTTACTTTTCTAGGAAGGTGACCAAATCTCTTGGATATTTTATCATCTGGCCCTTTCTGTTTCCCTAGTTTCTGTTTGCATTACTTTCTCTTTCCAGAAAATTCTGTGTTGCCCTCTCTGAGACACTATCTGTGCTTCTTGAGTTCCTACAGCTTAGTAACAGTGGACCAGTTAGTCCACTTAGTGACCACTGCATGTATCTGTGCTGAGAAGCAGTGATTCATGACTTACTTCTAGCTCCAGATGGTAGGAAGATGTCCTGAACCATCTGCTCCCAGCATGATCAAAAGCTTGTCCCTCTGTGAGTTTTAGGCCAACCAGGTCTACAGAGTGAGTTCCAGGACAGCCAGAGAGCTGTTACATAGAGAAACCCTGTCTCGAAAAACCAAAATAAATAAATCGATCCAAACACAAAAGCTTGACCCTATGGAGTGTGTATGTGTTTAATGTCCTACTCTGCAGCTGGCCTCTATCACGAGCACAGCAGCTGGCCCTCCCCATGCTGCACTTGGGGTGTCTTGTCACTCTTGTCACTCTGAAATGCCCTCCCGTTCACGCTTGCCTTTCCTCCCTCCCTCTGCAGAAGAAGTGTGAGCGATACTGGGCCCAGGAGCGGAAGCCACTGCAGACTGGGCCTTTCTGCATCACCCTGGTGAGCTTGGGCAGGTGTGGGTGGGAACGAGGCAGGCTCTGCAGGCCTTGGATAGTGTGGGAGATCTCAAGGAAGATGTACAGAATGCGAAGCCTGGGGCTGGACCGGCAAGGGGGAGCCATTTTTTCACAGCTCTCTTACACCGTGGAAAGCCCAGAATACTCTGGGCTTGTCATGCATGCCCTCTGGACACAACTTAAAGCTTTTTAGATTTGCTTTCACTTTTATTATGTTATTACTATCATGATTGTGTGTGTGTGTGTGTGTGTGTGCGTGTGTGTGTGTGTGTGTGTTTGTGTGTTTTGCTGGAGAGAGAATCAAGGGCTTCACACGTGCTGGGTAAGAGCTCTTCCCAGGCTCTAGAACTGTTGACAATGTCTACTGTTCCCTCTATAACCAAATCTACCCGTTCAGGTTTCTGCAATTCCTATTTCTTGACCACATGCAGAGAACTGGAAGAAGTTTCTCCTCATAGAGGAAGTTAGCCATTAACAGACGCAATGAGGTCATTGTATTTCAGAACAATAGAACTCTCTTGTGTTCCATGTAGAAGGGTTATAATTTGGTTTGTATAGTCAGTCCTATTTCCCTTTCTGACAAAAGTTTCCTTGAAAGCTTTGGGAGAAGTTTGGGCCAAAGGAAAATTTATAAATATTATCAGTATATTTGTTTGAATTAAAAATATAAGGCTATATTGGGGGCTGGAGAGATGGCTCAGAGGTTAAAAGCACTGACTACTCTTTCAGAGGTCCTGAGTTCAATTCCCAGCAACCACATGGTGGCTCACAACCATCTGTAATGAGATCTGGTGCCCTCTTCTGGCATGCAGACATACATGGAGGCCGGATGTTGTGTTCATAATAAATAAATAAATCTTTTAAAAAATATATAAGGCTATATTTACAATAATATAATACCTAAGGGAAATATCATCACTAGCTGTGAAACCTTTTTTTTTTTTTTTGGCTTTTTGAGACAAGGTTTCTCTATGTAGCCCTAGCTGTCCTGAAACTTGCTCTGTAGACCAGGCTGTCCTCAGACTCACAGAGGTCTGCCTGACTCTTTCTCCCGAGTGCTGGGATTAAAGGCACATGCAACCACCACCCAACTGACTGGGAAGTCATTTAAAATACTCTTTTGAAATTAAAAAAAATGTGTAGTGAGAATGTGCAAGGAAACAAAAGCCATAAGTCCACTGAGGATTGGGAATTGTAACAAGGACACACCAAGTGAGCTAGCCCAATAGGGTCTGGATTGTAAGCCATGCCCAGCAAGCTCTCCTGTCTCTCACCCACATGGGAAGTAAATCTGTGATCCCAGGAATGTAAGAACAGCACCACAGGCCAGAGATGTTTTAAATGTCTTTAGTACTTAACTTTTCTTCCATCAGGCCTGGTAGTACACACCTATCATCCCAGCACATGGGAAGCTGAGGCAGGAGGATCTCATGTTGGTGGCCAGTCTGTACTCTTCAGCAAGACCTGTCTCAAAAACAAAAACAAAACACAAACCCTTGCTTTCTAGGAATATGGAATACATCACTGAAGGTCTCTGCTTCTCATTTATTTTCTCTTCCCTCTTCTCACGTGCTCAGACAAAGGAGACACCGGTGAATGCAGATGTCATTCTCAGGACCCTTCAGGTTACATTCCAGAAGGTACTGAAAGGGCAAAGGTGAAGGGGCTTTTGCATGGGAGGAGCTGTTTCCACCGCTGTAAAATGGGCACTCAGGATAGTAATCAGTTTTCATCACCCTCGGTTATAACACACTGGGTTTGTTTGTCTTTGTGGTGCTGGGGATGGAGCTCACAGCCTTGTGCATGTTATGCTAGTGCTCTTCAGCTGAGCCTTATCTGCTGGATTTAGATGGGATATGCTTAGAACTGTAGTAGGTGCTCAATAGATGTATGTTTTCCTGTTCTCTGTTCCCCTGTCTCAGGAATCCCGCACTGTGCACCAGCTACAGTATATGTCCTGGCCTGACCACGGGGTTCCCAGCAATCCTGATCACATTCTCACCATGGTGGAGGAGGCCCATCGCCTCCAAGGAGCTGGTCCTGGACCCCTCTGTGTCCACTGCAGGTTCAGGGAACAGTCTTTCTGCGGGTGTGGGGAGGCAGAGGGGAGACGGAAAAGCAAGGAAGAAAGGCTGTGGCTTGGAACCAGCCCTCCCCTTTCAGTTACCTCTTTGGAGAACCTTTTAGGAATGTGTTCACGATACGAGCTGGAATTAGCTTTTGTTGGGCATAGGCTGCCTGCTGGGGAGTACGCATATAGCTGATACTTCACACGCCTAAGTGAATAAAAAGGGTTTTCTTTCGTTGAAGAAATAGCTTAGGGGGTAAGGTACTTGCTGTACATGGACTTGAGTTCAGATCTCTAGCACCCAGGAACAGCCAGGACAGGTGGCTTGTCCCTGTAACTCTAGGTCTGGGTGAAGGGTAGACGCACGAATCCATGGGGCTTGTAGCCAGCCAATCAGTTCACTTTGTGAGTATCCAGTTTAGTAAGAGACCCTGTCTCAAATATAATGCTGATCTCCGGTCTCTGGTCCACACTCTCACACACACACACACACACACACACACACACACACACACACCATATGAGTGCATGCTAGTGTACATAAAAGGTCTTATTTGAAATTATAATCTAGGGATCCTTCAATTTAAGAGGTGCTGCAGGGGACCTCCCTCAGCTCAGCCCCAAATTCTCCATGTAGAAGGGGCTGTGCTGTGCGTTAGCCAGGCCTGCCTTTCCAGCACTTAGGAAACTGAGGTCAGCAGATAAAGTCGTCCAGGCCAGCCTGGGCAACACAGCAAGACCTATGGAAAGGGGAGGAGAGCCAGAACGGAAGCCGGTGGGGGAGGAGGAGGGGGACTCGCTGTGGGCAAGCCATGATGGAGCCTGCTCTGATTCTTTCTCCTCAGTGCCGGCTGCGGACGAACAGGTGTCCTGTGTGCGGTTGATTACGTGAGGCAGTTGCTGGTGACCCAGGTATGATGCTGCCGTCTTCTCTGTGTGCCGTGTGTCCCACACCTGCCTACCGGGGCCTGTTCACACTCCCCCTCTCTGTCCCAGACAATCCCACCCAATTTCAGCCTCTTTGATGTGGTCCTTGAGATGCGGAGACAGCGGCCTGCTGCCGTGCAGACAGAGGTGTGTGCCTGCCCTGCCTTCCCCATTCCCTGGGACACAGGGAGGCTTCTGCATTCCCCGTTTTCCCTTCTCAGTGACCGACCACTCACCCCAACAGGAGCAGTACAAGTTCCTGTACCACACAGTGGCCCAGCTATTCTCCCGTACTCTCCAGAAAACCAGTCCCCACGACCAGAATCTCAAGGAGGTACCGAGGCCCCCGGTTCCACTGAGAACAGCCAGACTCACTGTGAAAGGCGCCTTTGCCTCCTCGGGGCTCCTTCCTCAGGCTCTCCCCTCATGAGCTTACCTCAGCACCCACAGTGACCAGCATAAGGGGTGTGGTCTCACCACCGTCCCCGCCCGATTTCCTGCAGAACTGTGCCCCCACCTGCAAGGATGCCTCGTCCCTCAGGACCTCCCCAGCCCTGACTGCCACATCCCGGCCGCCAGGAGGGGTTCTCAGGTACTGGCTGACCCACTCACAGCCCACTCTTTCTCTGGGCCACCAACCCCCGCGGTCCGAGTTAGCCTTTCCCTTGCTCCTCCAGACCTTAATTAGTTAGGCAAATACGTTTCTCTCTCTCTCTCTCTCTCTCTCTCTCTCTCTCTCTCTCTCTCTCTCTCTCTCTCTCTCTCTCTCTCTCTCTCTCTCTCTCTCTCTCTCTCGTGTGTATGCACTACTGCTGGGAGGTAAGAGGACAACCTTGGGCATGGGACCTCGCCTTCCACATGTTTTGAGACAGTCTAGTCTCATTGCATACGGGACTCACCTGTATCTGTCTCACATCTCATGCAGGAGTTCTGGGGTCTCTCTGTCTCTGTCTCTGTCTCTGTCTCTGTCTCTCTCTCTCTCTCTCTCTCTCTCTCTCTCTCACACACACACACACACACACACGACCAAGGTCTGGGGTCTCTCTCTCTCTCTCTCTCTCTCTCTCTCTCTCTCTCTCTCTCTCTCTCTCTCTCTGTCTCTCTCTCTCTCTCTCTCTTTCTCTCTCTCTCTCTCTCTGTGTCTCTCTCTGTCTCTCTCTCTCTCTCTCTCTCACACACACACACACACACACGACCAAGCTTGCTCTTACACGGGCCTTCACTAGTTCCACTTGCCGATCTGTCCCTGTCCCTCCTGCTGTAGGGGTACCAGGGAGACGGAACCCCGCTTTCAGCCCTCGGGTGGCCCGCCCCTTCCCTCCTTTCCTGCTCTGGGGACTGGGGCAGGCAGGCAGGAAGGAAGCCGGCAGCCTGGGGTGAGCTTGCTCCCTCCCCTGCTCTCCCTGTACTCTGCGCTTTCACTTCCTCTGCTTGCTGCCCGCTGCAGGAGCATCTCGGTGCCCGGGCCCCCGACCCTTCCCATGGCCGACACCTACGCCGTGGTGCAGAAGCGTGGCGCCCCCGCGGGCACAGGGCAGGGGACGCGGGTGCCTAGCAGCGCGGATGCCCCGATCTACAGCCAGGTGGCTCCGCGTTCCCAGCGGCCGGTGGCACACAGCGAGGACGCGAGGGGGACGACGCCACCGGGCCATGGTGAGTCGGGGCCCGCCCGGGATGCGGGGCTGAGGGCGGCCCGCGCGCACCTGCTCCCGCGTTCCCCACCTGCTCGGGGTGGGGATGGAGGGTCTAAGCGGCCACACAGAGGTCAGTTCCAGACCTATTCTGGCACACCCCCGGGCTCTTGACTGTCGGGGTTCAAACCCGAAAATGAACCCCAGGCCAGGCAGGTTTCAGTTGAGAGGTTGGGTCTAGCGGGGCCCCAAAGACAGACCTCCGGACTTGGCCACGCCCATGGCTCCGCCTCCAACCGGCTACCTCGGGAAGGGAAGTCTGTGGCTGAGCTCTAGGTGGAGTCCCTGGGACTCCAGAATGCTGCTTGAGCTGACCCGTAGGGCTTCTCCTGCCCGCAGTTCCTGCGGATCAAGACCCTCCCGGGCCTGATGCCTATGAAGAAGTAACGAATGGAGCGCAGACGGGTGGCCTAGGTAAGTGAGTTAGAGCCTAGGGTGCAGCTTTGGGAAGCCCCAGGAGTTTGGGAGTGCGGGACTTCAGGCGGTCCTTCATATACCAGGATCTGGGGACGCGCGAATGGGGTTTGGGAGAGTTTACTCTTTCACGCCTCAACTTCTGCATGGCGCCTTTCTCCTAGGCTTCAACCTGCGCATCGGAAGACCCAAAGGGCCACGGGATCCTCCGGCGGAGTGGACACGGGTGTGAGTGCTGTACCAGGTACGGCCTCTGGCTCAATAGGGGCTGGACTTCGGCAGCCACCAAGCTGCTGTGCACTGTGTGAGGAACAGGACTTGTGGATCTGCATCAAAATAAAAAGTTTCTCAGGGCGCAAAAAATAAGGGTTTTGCCCAATGATTATAGTAATCAAAGCCCGAGGCTTGGAGAGGTAAGTGGGAGATCACTGTTTGTGAGTCTACTCTGAGAAAATTTAAGAAAGAACATGAGGAGTGGGCGTTGCAAACCCCCTCCCACATACCCAACAGGATATAATAATCTATTGGTAAGCTTCCAGAGATGGTTCCCTCCCCACAGAATGAGAGGTATATCCTCAGTACTTGGGTCTCCTTTGCCCAACAATCAGGTGACCACAGGGGGGATGAGGCAGATGGTTCCTGAGGATGGGTGGATGGACCTCTCGCTATTCAGACAGATCCAGGTCAAGCCCAGCTATAGCCAAGTGAACTGACCCTCAGACAGATAGAAAGAAAGAAAAGAGAGAGAGAGAGAGAGAGAGAGAGAGAGAGAGAGAGAGAGAGAGAGAGAGAAAGAGAGAGAGAGAAAGAAAGGATCTGGACATAGAGGTAGATGCCTAAATACCCACACCTTCAGAGGGTTTGTCTATGGCAAGACAGGTGGACCTCACACTCAGTTAGAGAGAAATCAATCAATCAATAGCCTTTAAGACCAGTCGTAGCCAGTGATCACCAGTCTCCCAAAGTCAGACCCTCATCCTGCCAGCTAGACAGAACTCCATACATAAACAGATTCCAGATGAGCTGATACACAGACATCCCAGCTAAACTATGCAGACAGACTGACCTTCCAGTCATACACAGAATGGGACTGAATAAACATCACAGGTAATCTGCTAAACTCCCAGATAGATGGAGCTTCTCCTACATAGAACTCCTATTTGGGTGGACACACTGGTACTGCTCCTCTTTGTCAGACAGCTGCCAGATAGTTGAGTCAACTGGCCAGATAGGCAGATACTCATCTCTAGTTGGGCATGCATGGTCTGGATACATCCCACTATTCAGATCACGAGCAGCTAGACTGACATGACATAGTCTCAGGCAGAATTCCAGCTAGCAGATTGATGGATTTCCAACCTTAATCTAGATAGGGACTCCATATAATGGATGGACCGTTGGGTGACAAACTACCTTCAGATAGAGATAGATGGATCCCAAGTCAAGATTTGCCCATCAAATTCCAAGCTAGATATATAGACACAAGCTAGCCAGATTGCCAGTGGACCCTAACCAGTCAGACATGATCCTCTAGATGAGCAGACAAGCCTCCCAGATGAGTATAAATACATCTCCACAGCTATCCAGGTGGGGGCCCAACAAATTAGAATCTGTCTAGACAGACCCTGGGGAGGCAGAAAGACCTGTCCAAGATACTGAACACAATTGTTCACACAGTCTGTAGTTAGTCAGCTTTGAGCAGAACAGACAGATATACATAGGCTGCCACTTGGCAGACATGCCTGCAGCCAGCAACATAGACCTCTAGCCTAATAAGACAAGTGAACCAAACCCAGAGTGACACACCGGTCACCAGCTGGATAGGCTAGTGAGATAGACAACTTCACTGGAAACTGAACCCCAGACAGAGTCCTAACTCAACAAAGCCCTCAGACAGATGCCTGCCTGAACTGACATGCAGACCTCAAGCTAGAGAGACGTATAGCTAGACTCTCACGTAAACTCCCAATGAGCCAGAAAGATCTCCAGGTGGTCAGAGAAATGGATCACCCAGCCAGATAAATAGTACGCCATCTCCAGAAAAACAGAACTTCAAACCTTCTCTCTTGAGATGCAAGAAAGTAGATTCTCCTGAGATGGAGAGATAAGAATAAAATACATGCACAATGCTCTAACCCTGCCCCTCCCACGACCATGATGTCCACAAACAAGTCAGCATCCGTATGACAGATGGTTGTGTAGTCACTTCTGGCTATGCCATAGTGCCTTCTCCAGGGTGTCGTGTGGCACATAGACCGATCTCCAAGCCAGAACTATTGAATTAGTTAGTCTCAAAGACCAACAGGAAAACAGTAAATTCCTGGAAACAGGGAGCTATTGCCGAAAGAGGAAGAACAAACAGTTCATCCTGACAGAAGAGAAACTGAAGTTCTCTCCTGGAGGCCAGAAGCCAGGCTGGTTTGCGGTTGATAGCATCAGTTCTGAGCTCAGTGAAGGGCTGTGCAGGTCTTAGCTGCCCTGTCTGAATAGAAAGAGTGGCCGTGCTGAGTCCAAGAGAGCATGTGTCTGGGATCAGCTGCATGGGGAGACTCCCGGGTAATCCATTGGCAGGTCCTGTTGGGTCTACCTTGGAATCTACCCCGAGCCTGCCTCCTGCTCACTCCCATCTGGACTCTGCAGCCACCTTACTCACCATCCTCTTATTCCCCTTTTGTCCAGGATAAAACCCTCTAGGTTTGCTGCTTTCTAATCCTGTATGATAGTTATATTGAATGTCAATTTGACAGAGTCTAGAATCACCTAGGAGACACACATCTTTGTGAGAGTCTATGGATCGGGTTAGTAGAAGTGGGAGGACAGTGCATGCACTGGGGTCCTGGACTGAATAAGAAGAAAGCGAGCTGAGTACCTGGGTTCATCGCTGCTCTCCGACTGCAGATGTAATGCCACCAGCTGCCTCATGCTCCTGCCATGGCTTCCTCACCGTCATGGTCTAAACTCTGGAACTGTGATCCCCAAATAAAGCCTTCCTTCCTCAAGCTGCTTGTGTCAGGAATTTTGTCACAATATTAGAAAAGCCACTAATACAGGTCTTAGCAAAGTCTTAGGCATTCTTTGATCTTGTTCCAAAGAAATTGGAGGTCTTGTTATTGTTGCTTTGTGTTAGTTTTGTTATACTACACATTAAAGCCTCATGCATGGTAATCTGGTCCCTTGCCACTGAGTTTTATCCCCAGCCATCTTTTAACTACTTATTTTTAAAGTTGAAAGCAATTTATATGTATTAGTGTTTTGCCTGCTTGTATGTCTGCACCATATGCCGAAACCAGAAGAGAGCATCAGATCCCCTAGATAGTTGTTTCCAACTGGGTGCTGGGATTCAAACCCAAGTCCTCTAGAAAAGCAGCCAGTGCCTTTACCCACTGAGCTATCTCTCTAGTTCCTGTCTGTCTGTCTGTCTGTCTATCCATCTTAGTAGTTTGAAAGAAAAATGGCCCCCAAAGGGAGTGGCACTATTAGGAGGCGTGGCCTTGTTGGAAGAAGTGTGTCACTGTGGAGGTGGGCTTTGAGGTCTCATATATGCTCAAAAAACCTCCCAGTGTCTCAGACTACTTACTGTTGCCTGAACAAGATGTACAACTCTCAGCTCCTTCTCCAGCACGGTGTCTGCCTGCAAGCCACCATGCCCCATCATGATGATAATGGAGTGAATCTCTGAAACTATTAGCTGCCACCCCAATTAAATGCCTTCCTTTTTAAGAATTGCTGTGGCCGTGGTGTCTCTTCACAGCAATAGAAACTCTAAGACAGTTAGGTTAGTCGTTTTGAAACTTGTAGTTTGGATTGATCTTGAAATCATTCTATGGCCAATGCTGACCTTCAGCTCCCAATTCTCCAAGTTCTGAGATTATTTACACCTGTAATCACTTTTTTGCTTTTTTTTTTTTTTTTTTTTTGGTTTTTCCAGACAGGGTTTCTCTGTATTGTCTTGGAGGCTGTCCTGGAACTCGCTTTGTAGACCAGGCTGGCCTCGAACTCACAGAGATCCACCTGCCTCTGCCTCCGGAGTACTGGGATTAAAGGCGTGTGCACCAACGTTCGGCCATTTTTTTGCTTTTTATTTTGAGACATCTTCTCAGTAAATTTCCCTAAGCCAGCCTTGAACTCACTCTTTAACCCATGCATATTCTGAGGTCCTTTTATTTGTTTGTTTGTTTGATTGGTTTCCCAGACCTGGTTTCTCTGTGTAGCCATGGCTGTCTTGGAAACTCCCTTTGTAGATCAGGCTGGCCTTGAGCTACAGATCCACCTGCCTCTACTTCCTGAGTGCGGGGGAGTGTAGCTGCATAAATTATGGTTCACAGGATTGGGATGAAGTAAATTAATTTTATTGAAGAGAAAAATCACTTACATGAGAAACCGATATCCCAGGGTCAGCGCTCGGAGCATGCAATATCAGCTCTCTCTGAGACCGGTCCGGACCCCAAGAGAGGGCAGCCAGCCTTTCCTCAAGTCTATATCCCACCCCTTGTAAGCACCTGTGGCCATGCCCAAATGGGCGTGGTTAGTGCCACAGGTACCTAGTAAGATCTCTCCCTACATGGGAGTAAAGGTGTGCGCCACCACTTCTATCTTCAGTTTATAATCCTTCTGCCTCAACTAATTACAAGTCCATGCACAGCTGTTTCTTCTTCTTCTTCTTCTTCTTCTTCTTCTTCTTTTTTTTTTTTTTTTTTTTTTTTTTTTGGTTTTTACGAGACAGGGTTTCTCTGTATTGTTTTGGAGGCTGTCGGTCCAGCTCGGCCTCGAACTCACAGAGATCCGCCTGCCTCTGCCTCCCGAGTGCTGGGATTAAAGGCGTGCGCCACCACCGCCCGGCTTTTCTTCTTCTTCTTCTTTGGAAATAGGCACATTCTTCCTTTCCTTGGTAACATAAGGGCAACCATGTTTGCTTCGTTAGGCAACTATTAATTTACCTTTTGAGACCTGATGGAAGAGTGTATTTGTTGGTTTCGTGACAAGTCAGGTATATAGGAGGGGAGTTTTTATGAAAATCAAGATGAAAGTTAAATGTAATGGTGGAATCTGAATCTAAGATAATGTGATGGTGGTGATACATTATTTATGACTTAATAAAGCTTGCCTGAGAGTTCAAGATACAAAGGCCAGACACACTAGTTAACCATAGACACCAGGCAGTAGTGGCACATCCTTTAATCCCAGGACTCAGTAGACAAAGGCAGACAGATTCTGAGTTCAAGTCTACGCAGACCTATACATGAG